TATGGCTCAGTGTAAACCTTGCATCCACTCGCTAACACTTCTGCCGCAGTGTCAACAACATTTGTCTGACAGTTTTTCAAAAGTTTCTACAACACTCGCAGTGCATGAACTACCCCAAATGAAATCACTTCAATATTGGAACGTCTGCCATCATTGAATTAGATTAAGAAACGAATGTGGCTCGTCATTAAATTATTGCCACATGGAAATTAAATAAATATTTTGTTCCAAGAAAAGTCACAGCACATTCAGAATTTGAGATGGAATGTCAAGGACAATGTGACTGCATTTATTCGAGAGCAGGAGTTCGTTGGAGCAGTTTGTGCACAGAGTTCTCAACCGCGATGGTTCCTCGCTGATAACTGCTCTACGCACGCAACCTCATCCGTGAATTGCCCAGGAACCACTGAAACCTAATTTAAATCTGGATGAAAAACAGAATGCTGATCATAAGGCAGAGTGATAGGAGGCTAAAGATGGCGCATTAAAGTTTTAAAAGAAGTTTTGTAACATCCTAGCGCATCAAATATGAAAGAAATTTAGTTCTTTCTAATCATAATTTGGGTCGCCAGCAAGCATGAGTTTTCAAGATGAGGTTGCGTTTTGTAAATGAAATAAAACATAGGATGAAATTTGAGATAAAGAAGTTCAAAGGAAATGGGTAAACAAAGAAATACCTAAACGATTACACGAGAAAGATCAGGTTGTATAAAAACACGAGAAAAAGTTGTGAAATACCGACTAATTCAATATCAATTTACTAACGGTATTAGCGAATTGTAAAATAATTAAATATCTTGCAAACTGTTGTGATAAATAAATATAAAATTAGAGACTTGAGTGGTGGTGGACTAAATCCAGCGAAAAAGATATTGATGAAGCGTTATAAGCAACGAAGCTGTCGAGAGCAAAATTTACTGCAGGTAAAGAAAGAAGTTATTATCAACACTTCAGAGGGTTTATCATAAACGCATCAAAAAAGATATTAGACACAAAATTCTGCAAGATCGAAATTCATCTACCAGTCAGAAGTATACATATTCGTCGAATATTCACAATTGGGATTCCGTTGACGTTTCAAAGTAAAGGAAATGGCAAACTTGATGATGAAGTTGTAGCCGCGCTCGACCTGTGATTCAATATTGGCCAAACGATCACCGGCAAAATTGATTAGTTTCAGCATACAGAGCAGGATTCAAATTACTCTATAAGTACAATTTTACAGGGTATCTTCAAGTATACATTAATGCATGCGGGCCTACAGAGAAAAAAAGTATCTTTGTTCAATGTTCGGCTGATGAACCAAGATGAACCTAGAAGCTCAAGATAAATAGGGTTAAAGGAAAGACGGTTCACCTCACAACATTTACTGCTAGTCATCTTTGTCCCCAGACAAAACTATATAATCTACACTCGTAATACGTAATTTCAAAGGTTCCGACGACACTGCATAAAAAATCTCTTCAATTGTACTCATTATACAATGGAATTCATATTGCTTTCGGCTTGCCTAGGACCAAGGTCCGTGGCAGTCAACCCCTTACCGTCTAAAGGGGAAGATTCGTCCAAGGGTTTACAATGTTTTTCTTACCAAAATTATTAATTAATCTGACGGTAAAAGGTTAAGGAATGTGCAGCACTAGTGGATTCTGCTGCTGTTGCGACTCTCGGGGAGCTTCGCTCTCTCATTACCTATCGCAATCAAAAGATGGCTATCAGTTTATCCAGTCTTCGTGATCGAACAGATCGGAATTCGAGAGTAAAATCATTGTAATTAATTTTCCACTCTTAGATAATTCATTTGCTAATTTTTGTGTTTTTTTTTTTTTTTTCTAAGACCAATTTGGTGGAACTCGAAACTGAAAAAAATGATGTCAACAACAATCGACAAAATAACCGAATCTTGAATTTGAGAGAGAAAAATGAGCAAAAAAATTTTACAGAAATGTTCCCGAAAGATTAACTCAAAGCGAAAGAGTTTAAAAACAAACTTTCAACAGCACGAAGACTGGATAATCACAGAGCAGCGGTCTCATTTTCTCCCTTCAATGAGGGTACAGAATCAGATACATGACCAGTAGACAGAACAGACTCGTTCGAGTGCTTTTAAGATTAATCATTAGTCTAAGGCTTAATTATGATTCTATTATTAACTGATCATGCCCGGAACAAACTATGGTATGCTGAAGACACAGCATAGGATTTAGAATGCAGCACTTAATGCTTCAGAGCTGCGCAGCGGCTGACGTAACCGCGCTGTGGGCACTGGACAAGAATACGTATCAAGGCCCTAAGCTTCAACTCGGTAGAGTGGACATATTAGGATTTACTATATAGTGGCATTAATTGATCCGGTCTCGCAGATAGTGATGCTATATTGCCATAGGTTTACAGTTTGCCATTCGTCAGACGCCACAGATTACGATCAGTACACGTTAGACCATCTGCATCTTACGCGGTAAAAAGAAGATAAATAACGGCTGATCGAAAACCACTAGGTGTCCATTAGAATATCCCGTAACAAACTTTTATATAATCTGCTCAAGTAATTAATTACAAAACCATCACAAAAACTATAGCAATTCATTTTTAGAAAATATAACAATTCACATTTTAAGAGTAACTTTCAACAGGAAAAGCAATGTTAAATATATACTTCACAAGAAAAGTTTTCTGCGTCCTATGGACAGACAAAGTATTCATTACGCCAAAACACTGTAAACACTAATAAAAATGTCTCCATCAAGTTGAACATGACAAATCTCATTAGATTCTCTTCAGCACGACTAGATAACAGGTTCGTCAAGTAAATGCGTCTTCACCCAATACCGCTAAAGAAAATACGCAATATAGACCAGGTCTCCCTGGATCTTGTCTCAGATGTTCGCATAAAGTGGTTGAGGCTAAGCGCGATATATATAATAGGGTTCTCATTGTCATCCTGGTTATTGAAGGATATTAATCCGTATGAAAGAGTTTCATAAAAATAGCGACCATGTATTAATCGTACACCGCACTTGGTTATAGTGCATTGGATCGTTCACGACTATACGGAAAATTATTCGTATGAATGGTGGAAGGTCTATACAATGCATGTCTTAGAGAATTGAAAATATTTTGAAAACTTGCAGCGATAAAGATAGCAATCATTTCGTACTTCAAGTCCATTGAGGAAGACACGGAATTGGATTTTGGTTATAAAAATCTATAGGCGGAGTTTTGATTGGCCAATACACCCTGTTAGTGCCCAGCCACTTTTTCCGGTAAAAATATCCTCTTGAGCAAATTTCCCAGAATTCGGCTATCAGAATGACGAGAAAATCAATTCCGTGATTTGAAGTACGTTTCGAGTGGACTTCGAAACTAAAAAAAAAAATCCCGTTGGAAATGTAAAGGGACTTTAGACTATATCCCTAGCGTCTACCTCTTGACCATGATTTCTACGCTAACTGCCAAACATAAGCCAACCTACGATTTATCCTACGATATACCAACGTCAGTCACAGACGCGCTTGATGCGAGTTTATTAACTGGCAAGCGAGGGGAGAGTGACAGTCCATGAAGGGATCAGGATACCGCATGAATATCATTACAGGGTCTAGTGGGGCATTATTGCGACTACAGTCTTCATAGCTTACTAACTGCCATACTACATATACTTTATTGCACCGATTGTGCTCTGCCTTAAAGCTAACCTCTACGTTAAATTATTGAGTGCTCTCGCTCTCACTGTGCACTCCACAAGCGTTAAACACTAAGGGGAAGCTAAGGGATAATTGGATAGAAATCATAAATGATCCCTGCAGCTGATGATAGCGGGATCATGGAACTACTGAAGATAACTATGCTGAAGTATCGATAAAGCAACACTCTCACTGAATGACATTCTACTCAAATACTTCTAAGGGTTTCGTTGCTGTTCGCTGCGGCAGGAATTTCGGCTACAGTTACAATTATTGCCCAGATATTCGGAATAAACGCAGATTGCCGGACTGCGTCTAAGTATAACTTCGTCAGATGTGTTCAGTAGACACGGATCAGACGAACCTTGATGAAGGTGAACGATTAATTACCAACAATTAACGAAGCGGAAACGACGAATCGGCAATTTCTGCATGACGAAAAAGTTAGATCAAAATCCGTTTTTTTCACTTGAAGGCTTGCGGTTTTTACGGTTTTCGGTGAAATTGTCTCTCAAATCTTAGACACTTTCGAGCCTAACAACGTTGTTTCTCATCGCCGAGAAAGTCTAGACGATGATATCATCGAAGAGTGCCATGATGTAGCAGTAATGAGAAAAAATACTGCATTAAAGCACGTCGCCAAGATAATAAGAGACTTTGTCAAGTGATTTACTTAATTGAATTGACGTGAGAATCACGGAGTAACGTAATCCTGAACTCGGCTGCAGGGCAACACAGCTACCAACCACAGCACGAGCGACTACACTTCATACGAGAAACTTGCGTTCGCTTAAAGACAACTGAAAAGATGGAACCGGGAAAATTCAAACTTTGTCCGAGCAAAGGATTGAAATGCAAATTCTGGTTACAATAAAAAGAAGATTTGTATAGATTGGGCCCAATGTTTAGAAGTGTGGAAAATTTTGCATACAAACAATGTCATAGAATATCTTATTAGCGTCAAATGTAAACACTTCAAGCTGGGACTATTCACTCCTTCCTGCAGTGGAAGTGTGCAATCAGAAAAATAAACGGTCCTAATTCTGCCCAAAGGAAATACTATGCAAATGACTTCTAAATTTAAACTGAACTGATTTAAACTGATTTAACATCTGGAGGATAAATTCTATTAATTTGAATTAAAATTCAGAACCATTTTGAGTATCACAAATACTGAAATGAAAATGGGAAAATATTAAGGAAAAATTGTGAATAAATAAGTGAGAAAATATTGAAGCTCAAATAGCATTTACTATGATAACAAAACTATTATATATGAATGCCTGCTTTACATCAAGAGGAAAAATGAACGCCTGCTGTGGCTGATCTGTATTTACTACTCGTTACATGGGCGTAGCGAAAGAATTTCTATAAGATTAACCAAAATTGTCAGTAGACCAGAACCAAACATGGAGTTTTGCTAAACTATAGCGCACAAAATGCAAACGTTAACAAGTTTGAAGTGAAATCAACGCAATTCTAGTAACGCAGAAGTTGGGAAAAGTCGCGCTAGAGACAAGACATAAAACTTATTCCGAGTCCTTTAATTGATAAATAAATAATAAGACTCAGAACTTCCACAATAATTCAATATGACAGTGAATGGAAAGTGATGACAAAGCAAGATTAATTGAGATAATTAAACGAAGTTATTTTGTCGTTATATAAAATAATTTTTGACCACAATTTTCGTAGCACAAGCGATCGTTGGTAAGATGAATACATCGATTCTCATTAGTCTGATAACTGTAAAAATACGCGAGGGACAGCGAACTGCTACAGGACGCTTGGTATTGCATAAGTTACAATCGGTAATTAGTCGTTGCTAATTAACTTTACTTCAAAAGCTCATTAGAGTGTACGGTATTCGCAATGCAGATATAACCGCATCATGTCTTCAATGCAAAACAAAATCAAGTTTGAATTCCGATTTACTTCAAAACCTCATTAGAGTGTACGGTATTCGCAATGCAGATATAACCGCATCATGTCTTCAATGCAAAACAAAATCAAGTTTGAATTCCGTAAAACAAAGCGCCTTCTCTGCACAGAAAGACAACCGCGCCATAGAAAAAAACACGCCTAACTGCAGAAAAAAATGCACCGAGCTCGTAATGCAGAGAACACACAAGTCAACTCTGTAGGACTGCGGGGCTACAGAGACGGTCACTGGTACAGAGACGGTCACTGGTACAGAGGAAGGATGAGCTCAAGAGGAGGTCGAGCTGAGAGAAGCGCAGGTCAGGATCATTGCTGTGGCACGAGAGGATGTCCAGCAGACGCGGCGGGGTACGTTTGGTACATCCACATGTACCCAGGAGGAGGGGCCACGGTGGGGGCCTGGGACGCCGCCATCTGGTACTGGTGGTGTACAGGAGAGGTGGCAGCCACGGGGTGGTGCGGGGAGGGAGCAGCGGGGGAAGACGGCACGGTGGCGTAGTACTGTGGCAAATATGACGAGGGCGCCACTGGGTGGCCGGGGAAGGCAGCGTGCATGGGTGCGCCGGCCTGCTGAGGGGACATGTGCGGGCCAGCGGCCGCTGCTGCTGCGGCCACAGCGAGCGCATGCTGCTGTTGTTGCTGCTGAGCCATGGCAGCAGCTGCTGCGTGCTGGGAGTAGTACTGCCAGTAGCTGATGGCCTGCTGGTTGGCAGCAGCGGCCGCAGCTGCCGCGTAGTGAGGATGATGAAGGTGCATATGTTGACCGGGCACCGTGACAGTGCCAGCGGGCGGCGCGCTGTACTGGGCAATGGACACGGGAACCGCGCCTACGATCGGCTGCCCTGCCACGGCTGCTGCCATTTGCTGCATGCCTACGGGCACGACGGCATTGGCGTACGCCGCTGCCACGGGGGACACAGCCACTGGCTGGGTGGACATTGTAGGGGTGGCCACGACCGCGGGGTGCTCAAGGACGGGTGACGTGGCCGTGGGTGGCTGAGGCTGTCCCTCAGGTCCAGTGTCTTTGCCCCACGAGCAGCGGATCGTCTGGCCGTTGAGGTTGCTGTTGTGCTGGGCAACGATCGCTTGGCAAGCGTGCTCCTTACACGTGTATTTGATGAAGGCATAGCCTTTCTCTTTAAATATCTTGATCTTGTCAATAGCCCCGTAGGAATGGAAGGCTTGCTGCAGGGATTCCTCGGTGACGTCTTGCTTCAGTCCCCCGACGAAGACGGTCGTGTTGGTGCCGGTGGTTTGGCTGAAGACTTCGTCGTAGTCCAAGGCATTGGGCTCAGGTTTGCTCTCTTGAGTGACACTAGGCAGCTTGCGCGTCGCCCAACGAGCTTTGATCATCTTGCGCCCAAGCCACTGACCATTCATGTTCTGAATGGACACCTCCGCATCGTACTTTTTAACAAAGACCACGAAACCGTAGCCACGGGACTTGTACGTCTGTGGGTCCTTGACAACCTTACAGTCAGAGATCTCACCAAAGACCCTGAACGCATCCCTGAGCGCCTGCTCGTCTATCTCAGGACTGAGCTCCCCGACATACACATGAAAGTGTCGTGTCGTGTCTACCTTATTGGCTTTGTTCTTGTTGCCCTGACCAGTCGCCCAGTCAACCCTCATTCTGCGCGTCTGGAGCATCTTATCATTCATCATGGTTATGGCATGAAGCGCGCTTGTGTGGTCAGCAAACTCGACAAAACAATAAGGGTCACTATTGGACTCGTGGAACATTTTACAGCTTAAAACCTCACCCAATTGATTGAAGAGAGCACGGATGAGTTCCTCGGTCACTGATAGGTCGAGGTTTCCCACGTACAGAGTGCAGTTGCTTTCCCCAGTCATGTTTACACTGCCAGTAAAACTATCTGCAAATAAGGGAACACACAATTAACAAGTAATTCTAGTACCGTATACATCTATATTATTGCAACAATACATTCAATCTATGATGAATGATGAATTTAAGAATCCAATACACAGCCACCCTGATATTTGAAGAATTAGCACAGCAATAAGCATGTGAAAACTTAAGGTCAGGGAGGTTTTGAGGTACCAAGCCAAAAGCACACTCACACCAATAGTCAAGAAGGAAATAAGGGCCAGTTGAAAGCACACATTTCCAAAACATGATACTCTAGAAACAAAAAAATAACTGAAAAGCTCAAAATAACAAATCTGGAATTTCCATTCTTAAAAAAATTAAAAGCATTTACTCTTTAAAAGTTAGGTGCAGCTGTTAGAAACATGTTTACATGGCATTGGTAACTACAACTGACTGATAGATTAAAATAAACTGCACATGACTGCACATTAAAATAAACTGCACATGACTGCATGCATAAACTGTATGCTGCATGGCAGCAAACTTGAGGTAGTTAGCTAATCATGACCTCATCTTATGCATGACTATAACCTTTTGACTCTGGCAAACATTTTCACACTAATGTTAATCAAGAACAAGTTACTGCTGGAATTCAAAAATTGTGCAGATTAATACAACAGCACAATTAAAAATTGTGCTGTATGACTAGATCAATACATATCAAGGCTGTGCTAGGCAACACAGCTTAGATTTCATGGTATCCATATGTATATTTTGAGCTTTTTTTGAGAGTAAAGTAAAATAATATAGTCCTTATATAGGTATATTTTGAGAGTTTTTGAGAGTAGAGTAAACTAATATAGTCCATATATATTTTTTTGAGCCTTTTTTGAGAGTAAAGTAAAATATAATAGTCCTTATATAGGTATATTTTGAGAGTTTTTGAGGGAAAAATAAAATAATATAGCCCTTGTATTTTATTTCAGGTAATCATAGAAATGTTTAGATTTCAATTATCATCACCTTGCCAGCAGCTGAGAATTTAAATAAAAATTTTAAATCTCAAGCTTGCTCTTCAGATGACCAAGTATAAGAGAGAAGAGAAGCCATCACCAGGGAAGTGAAATTAGATTTATGAAGACAGTCATTATGGAGGAAATAACAACAGAAATTGGTCCAACAGTTGAATTTTGTTGTTCAGCAGTCAGTTTTCTATGATAAAAATTATATCCTAAATATGTAGAAGTATTTGAACATTCTCAATATATGGAGGGATCTGAATCTAAGTATTTTGTAAGCATGGTTAATTTTTTTTAATATCACAGAAAGCTAAGCATATGGATTGTCAAGGCTGTAAGCAAGTAAGGAAAAAATGCCTGTTGATTAAGATCTTGTTTTCTTCTTGAGATATTAAAAACCAGGAATATGGTCAAATGGGGTAAGAGTTAATACAGGATCGCAGCCTTCAAGGGGTAAGAAAGGACCAGCCCATGGCATGCATTCTAATTGCACTGAATCTAATTTGATAGAAGAATATGTTAGAGCAATCATTTCATGTCATTTCAGTGTTTGTTTCAACTCTGTTCTGCAAATAATGATTTTTTGGTTAATTATTAAAGAAAACCTATGTAAAGAAGGGTCACAAAATAGTCAACCCTATTTGGGAAATAAGCTCTGTCTATTGACAAAAAATTTTTTGGTCAGGTTTGTGGATGTAGGCAGGTAACCTCAAGTAATAAGCAACTTTTGAGACATGCTAGGCATTCCTACCTGCTACCATCACTGCCTGAGATCTATTCTTAAATGGGGCAATAAAATACTCAAAAAAAAACTTTTTAAAAAACCACGTTTTTCTTGTGGACTAAAAAGTAGAAAATAAATTATGGCTTGCCTCAAAAAACGCGGGTCAGGCTGTACATTCACCATAAAATTTCCAAAATTCGTGTGTTGTGTGCTTTTCGCTTTAATCATAAATCTGCTCAAATTAAATTCAGTGCAATTAGAATGCATGCCATGGGCTGGTCCTTTCTTACCCCATGAAGGCTGCGATCCTGTCTTACCCCATTTGACTATATACCAATTTGTCATTCATAGTACATTTATACTAAACCATGAATAACAATGCCTCAATATAAATTAAAGACTACCACTCAATATTTTTAAATATATGAAAAAATCAAAAAAATACAAAAAAAATTGAAAAAATAAAAAAAATCATGATTTTTTTATAAAAAATCAAGTGATTTAATCACGTGATTTAATCATTTTGATTTAATCATTGCCAACCCTGTTTTGCTGCCATTTGTTTCTGTTGTAGTGGTGGCCAAAGTCACCTGAGTTGACAGTAGTGGGATCCTAATGGTAAATGAGAGATTTTTTAGACCCAGTTCAGTTCAAATTGGCTGATTCAGGTCAAAATATTATTCACTAATCACTATCATATGAGAGTAAATGCTGGGTATGTTAACATTAGTGAAGGTCAACAAAAAACCCTCATTTGCCCCCATACACCAGATTAATACATTGAAAACGGTTTCATTCTGGCACAGTGGTCAACAACAACTTTTTGTTGACCTTCCATACTGAGTTGAACTAAAAAATTGAGCAAAAGTCACCTGCAATTTAGAGATGAGATGATAACATCCATGATAGCAGTCAAATTCCCCATTCCTATGGCCCTGGACTAGTTTGATCAGAAGAACTTAACAATCATAGATACTAACCAATCTGTGATACCATGCAAAATTTGTATAAAATTGTGAGACAAATCAATCCTTCACACCTAATTTCAGTTTTTGTAAATTATAATAGGCCCCTTCTCTTATTTTAAACTGAAGGAGCTTAGAATATGCCATTGAAAAAGGTGAAATTGGCCAAAATCGTGGGAATATTGGGCTTCTGCCCAATTTTCCAGTTATGAGATACTAACATTACAGCCATTACCATAAAAAAATAGTGAAATCTTAAGGGGGGTATCGCCTCCAGAAAAACTTCCACATTTACAAACGGATCTTTCTGAAACTTCACACATATATGTAAAACCAAAATACAAGCACATTTTGTTTGTATGATTTTTTGGAAAAATTCATAGAAAATGTGAAATTCCTAGGAAAACAAAAAAATGGGGTAATTTAAAAATCCTCTCACAGTTTTCAAGCTAAAGCATCGAAAGAATACCATTCGATTTGTAAAGACCATACCAATCAAGTAACACAGCCCAATTTTTTATTTTGGCCTTAGTTTTTGTTACACCCATTTTCCCGTTTTCTTCTGGTTTCCCTCCCCCTCCCCCATTTTAATCCAAACTATGCACAAATCTAAAAAAGGGCTTCATTACTTGATAGGTATGGTCTTTACAAATCGAATGGTACCGTCAAACGGGGTAAAAAGGGACGGTTTTGAGCGTTTTTTGTAATTAACTTCTTACCATGAAACATTTCATAAACAAGTTTGGGCTCATTTTAAAGGTCTTTGCAGGGGCTATCATTTGGCATCTCCAAAAAAATTTCATATGCTATTTGTAAGGTGCTAGACGCAATATAAAAGGCTCCTGAATTAATCTGGTAATGGGGTAAAAAGGGACACTTGAAATAAAACTCAATTTTAAACATTTGAAGCATGCAGAGTGTACTCATCTATTACTAACACTACTCTGAAGTCCTCCTCTTCCTTTGTAGATGATGTAAATGTAGAATAAATGAAATTTTCTGTGATCTTTACTTGGTTTTTCTTCATTGATATAATATTACCTTATCCATACATTACCGTATTATTAATGTGATATTACTGTATCCATGGACATGCCATTGAGCATTGACAAAGGCCTTGTCCACTGCAAGCTTCATAGTAAATCGGAAAGTGGCTGGCAGAAAATACAAACTGTTCAGAACTCTGCCCTGAGAATTGCCACAGGACACACACGCGACACCAACGCACAACATCTTCACGACGAAACATCTGTCCTGCCTCTGAAGAACCACGTGCAGATGACGGCCTCGCAACTGAGGGAGAAGAGTAAACTGGAAGAACACCCACTGAGAAGTCTGATGAATCAAAAACCAATCAGACTCATGAAAAAAAAACATACACAACAGTGAGTATAGCATAAAAGTGTACGACTGTAACAACAACAACAGCGATAGCAGCGTGGAGGTGAATAGAAACATGAAGACGTTGCATACCACCGCAGTCGAGAGATATCTAGAGTCGAGAACACCCAACAAGATTCTAAACGCACCAGCACCTAAAGTAAACGGAACAGAGAGGACTTTGGACCGAGGCATGAGGCGTACATTGGCGCAGTTAAGGGCGGGGAAATGCCCAATGCTTAGAGAGTACCTCAATAAGATCGATGAGGCTAGTTACCCAACACCATCATGCCCTCTGTGTCAAAACCACACCCACAACACACATCTGTTTGGGTGTGCTGAAATTCCAACCAGCCTGCAGCCTGAAGATCTATGGAATAAGCCAGTGGAAGTGTCCCAACTAATCAGAGTGTGGCAAGACCGACTCGGCGCTCCGGAGGGGGTTGGGCCTGGGCGGCACTCAGTCGAGTGACGTTTTGGTGATCATCATCATCACGCACGGTCTTACGAGATTCTGCCACCCGACCATCGTATAGCCATCAGTATCAGCTTAAGCTCTGACAATTTTAATTTTTACAATAGAATGCGTAACTGCTTCGATTTTTCTCAATTCAACAAATTTATGCAGCTATATCAATGGAACTATCAGACTATAATTGGTCATGCTACATTATATCGCAGACATACATAAATTTTACAGGCAAGAGAACTCTATAACTAATGTTTTATTGAGTAAAATGAGCGCTAGCTAAGATACGAACTTGCAGCAGTATATACCTACGTACAAGTGACGAGTTAAACAAGATTTCGTGAAAAATTATTGGACAAACAATGTCAATTATCATTCTTTAATTCTGCTCGAATGTTGCGGGAAAAATATGAAACACACGTTAGCATCAATATAATATATTAATTAAGGAGGTTCCGACACGCAACAACTGCAATATGCAAGTAATGTATTGCAAATATGAAATTGATGACAACCAACAATTTTGTTATGAAACAGAAATACGAATGCGATTTGAACCAAATCACTAAACTTCTCAATTTAATTAAATGACCAATAACAACTCTGGAATAATAATTTTGGTTTCTCCAATCACGATTTCGGGAAGAAATTGATCTCAAGATGCAAGATAGACTTGTGGCAATAGTAATTCATTCATTCACACATCAACAACAGTGAGATAATATTTACACGAGGAAGCTTGTCTAAGATAATACGTTGTATTTAAACACCTATCGCGGTTAAGCCTTTCTGTTGAGTTTGGCCAAGCTTGCACCCACTTGCTCGGCAGACAAACCATCCAGGGGCACGGACACTTCTTCACCACGACCTGTGTCGAGTTCAGAGAAGTTATCAACTTTTAACAAGACACTGAATTCGCAAAAATTTAGTTACTAAAGATGCCGTTGTAGAATAAGAGAGTGCGCCTTCATTTGAGCAGTTTTGTATATGACAGGTTATCTGAGAGGATCTGCAAAGTTAGCTAGCTAGACTCATAGGTATTGTCTACAATTGGGCACGATTGATTCAGCAGAACTTGATCACGCATGATGGGGTTATCAACAACGGTGCGATTATATATATAATAATAAACTGGAGCTAAGATGCTATTCTTAGTTATAAACCGGACAGAGCTTACGATGAGCGTTTCCTATTATACATCGTTGTTGAGACACACCCCAAAAAAAAGTTAGTCTATGCAGGCATTGAACCACCTTGCTTTATTCAAAATATTACTCTCTCAGACACGACATGAGAATTTATGCGACATGAGAATTTAACTCTTAATAAATTTTCCATATGAATATAGCTCATTGCATTCAATTGCACTTTATTAGTAAATATGTTCATGGTATTAATAAATCTTATAAATATTGAATTTTAGATCGACCCAAAATGAGCCAGAACACATAAAATGCTTGAAATACCTATACTCTTTCAAGAGCCTAATTAAAAACCCCATCCAAAAAGGGTGCACAAAAATATTTAAAACATAATAGTAGGTAATAAGTTCATTTTGATACCTTCAAACGGCTTCTAAAAATTTGCATCTATGACATTTCTTCTTGGCAATAGCGTGAATGTTGCAAACAAATGAAGTGTCCATCATACAATTTAAGAGTATAAAGAAGGACAAGTGGCTGCAATGATAGAGACATACCAGTATATAACACTCACCATATCTTGCCCAAGCCTTTGGTACCACTCCAGAACACTCGCGCACCAAAATAGGCAGGGTGGGGTTGGCCTTTTTCAATTCAACATAGCTGCTCTCAATGAAGTCCCTGAAAAGCATTACTTTCTTAATGAGAAGTTCTATAAAAATTAAATTCAATTGATATATACCGGTACCTACTAATTAGCTTAGGGTAAAGTTTATGTTTTACTAGGGACTATGCATTTTTAATTTTGTTATTGAAATTTTGATAATTTAGACCTTGTCATTGGTAAATTAGGTAATCATTTATCTTTTTTGTTATTTGTTAAAAGTCTGTTCAGCACATGATTTCTAAGTGGTCAATAGTTGGAAATTCATTAACTTGAGTATTTCATTATAGTTCTCCTTAATTCTCTGGGTGATATTGCTAGATTCAACATAACTTTATTTTCTCCTGGCTTGTCATTTCCTTTAAAAAAAATTTGAGGACATTTGTTTTTGTTCAATTCTGCTTGCATTGTGTTCCTCCCTTGGTCTATCCTCAGGCCATTTTCTTTATTCCAGCCTCATTGAACACATTTTTTTATAAAATCATCAATTTCAGTACTGTATTGATTTCTCTTTGTTCCTGCCTTTCCAATGATTGCGAAAAATTCAATAATTGTTACAACTCCGAGTCAATTTGAAAAGTGCTTAAATAATTGAACTAATAATTGACTGATTTAATATCAATAAATAATTTAATAATTGTCTGATTTTTAAATTGTATTCATTTAACCAAAATCTTCTTCTATAATTTGATGGAGTCAACAATAAGTTACTTGAGACAGTTTCTCAAGTTGGTCAATACTTCTATGTAGATATTCAGGGATTAGGTACCAATTTTTTCCCCAGTGTGGTGAGTGGAAGGTCAATTAGCATGAGGTTGATCATTAATTGCCATTTCCCTTTTTTTTGAAGCAGTAAAACCTCTCAAAAACTTGCATTCTCCCCAGAGCATATTCTTAGTAGGCATAGGTAGCATATTCTAAAAAATCCACTATCATCAACAAATGATGAACGTGCCAAAGTAGTCACAAAAAAAATCAGCAATTGTGGAACACAGCCATCAAGGGCAGTAACACGTGGCACACTAACTTAAGAATTTCAGTAGCATATGCACATACAAGTAGAATGCAGTGCTATCAAAACTTCACCCACCACAGTGACAGTCAGGTTTTCTTTAGCTCACCCCTTGTACGTATACACCATTCTGTTGTCAACATGTTAAAGATCCCCTCAACCTCAAGTATTAAAGTAAAGGCACAGCATGGCCAAACAGCTGCTGTTAGTTTCAGGGGGTTAATGGTTTTGGCTAATTAGAAAGGTTTTACATCTCATCTCAATTTTGTATTCATTCCATGAGAGTCTATGGGCTATGGGCTAAATGATAAGAATTTAATTCAATTCTTTCTGTTGCAGCTCTAACTATTCATCTTCACTAGCCCATGCTGCTTACTATATAAAAATAATTAATTTATCAATACTATTTATACTCTTTGCAAAAATGCCATGTGCCTGCAGCCACTGTTCCGGCCAGGATAATCTTCATAGAGGCTACATGCCAGCATGTGCCTATGCTGTCTTTCACACTTATCCTGCCTCCCCACCTAGCTGCCCAATAACATAAGGGTAGGTCCAGAAAGTTTTATTCTTGCAGCAAGTTGTGGCTAGTGTGGAGGAAGACCTGCATGATGGGGTGTGGTCTCCATGAAGACTATACTGGTGTGAGCAGTGGCTGCTGGCTCATAGCACTGATGGGACAAAGCAAGCAAGTTCAAAGGCTAATATACTCAGTTGATTTGTAGCAATTGCCCATCCTGGAAGTGGCAAACCAGGGTGCAGAAAGTGGGCGAATGTCAAAATATATTTGGCAACGCATCAGCTGCAAGATTTACGCCTTCTGAAAATCTTGCCGACACATTTGGATTGAAATTATTGCATTCAGAAATTCCTTCGAAATTACTGCTAATCTGAAAGACCTCAAGTGCACACAGCAAGGTTTCCAGTACGCATGGATCAGGATGCAGTGAAGCTTGTCCAGAAATCAGTTTCGAGGCCTGTAAGTGTTGCAGTGCGTGGACTGAAAGGGATATACTATCAAAGTTGCTTGCAGCACTTTCTTATTAAAAATTACCCAGCGACAGATCTTGAAAATGGTTGGTGATGCTTTGGGCTAAAAATCCATATCTTGGCAATGCTACTTGCACCCTCTGCATCCTGGGTGGGGAATAGGGAGGGAGAGTGATATGTCAGTTTTTCCAGGCACTTAATGCTACTGGTAGTTCTAGGACCATCACTGGCTTGCTGATCTGCCAGAACCATTTTATTGCATTACACAACACCCTGGAGTCTGGACAAGCCAGGTTCTCCTTTATCAACCAGAGTTGGATGAATGGCTGAGTTGACCATGAGCTGGCTTCCCAGAACCAGAACAACTTGTCCTCAGTAGAACTCGAACCCGGGAGTGGGGTTCGAGAGACTGAGTCTCTCACCACTGGAGCTCTGAGGCCTGACACGCAGCTCTGAGGCCTCTGCAAAAAAGTGAGTCAGCCAGAGAGGCAGAGCCTTGCTAAAAATGTAAGAATATGTTCATTTGAGAAAAATTCATCAACTGGATGGGTAATTCAAACTATCAGCATTCAGCTACTAGCTAAATAATAAAGACTTTTCCAAATAAGTTTTAGAAGTGCTCAGCAAGCTGTCTCCTGGATGGGCTTGACTGGGTCTCTAAGGGGAGCACAAGTTTTGGAATTGGTGCCAGCAGTTTTTTCAGCAGGAATCAGCAGCCAGGACAGACCAAACTTTCACCTTCAGACATGTCTGAGACTCAGGGACCCAGGGCCAAATAGGAGCTGGCTAGGGGCCTAGGACCATTGAATCACAGAAACAGGTAAAACCTTCAAAGTTACTTATACAGAAACCACCACTCCACCAGCATTATCTCCAGAAATAGCCTCCTCTGCATCCTACAAGACTCCAAGTCAGGCAATGCCAGATGGTCAGTCAGGTCAGATAATGTTGGCAAGCCAGTGGTTTCAGAAATGTAGTTTGAGTCTTTGAGTTGCTTGGCAGTGACAACTGTACTGAGTAGGTACTGTGACATCAGCAACTGGCAATAATTGGATAGGGTAAACGCACCATATTCCAACACTGTGGGTAATTCTGACAACCCTTAACTTTTTCCTTTATGTTAAGCTTGGTCTTACCGTCTTAGTACCATGCATTTGTAGATGGTTGAAATAGTGACGTCATACTATTGTGCACCAGATTTCCGTAAAACACGAGGTCTAGTGGGAAAATGTTAAGAACCGCAGAGCAAAAGTACAAGTCAACTAGTGAGAGCATCAAAATGCGCATGAAAGTTGATAGTTTACCTTGCTTTACTAAATAGTGACAAACTGTTTGTGTAGAAAGAATATTATGGTTTGGGACTTTTAAATAAGTCTGTGAAAGAAAAACCTGAATCAGAGCTTAATTTGTCAGGGAGAGTTGTTTGCGAGAGCAGAACTGAGTTCTTATAAGCTGGTTCCCACAAGTCAGTGCTGGGCACAGAAGGCAAAACGTATATCATTCAGTCAGGAATGACCTAAAGCGAAATGACGTTTCGTCAATCATTGCCAATGTTCATCTTCATAGGTACCATAATCTTGGTAAGCGTCAACAGTATAATTCTGTGATAGTACGAAAACGAACATCGTCAGACTACACCGTGTTGCTAAGTGTTCATGTTCTTATTTTTTTTTAAATAAACATGGCTAACGTCCAGCATTTAGCCTGATTTCACATGGTTTATGAGCATCAGCTAATTGGTTATCTCGCATCGGAAGCCAGGAATAAACCTCTTGAACCAAGTGGAGTAAACAAAGCATTGTTCTCCACCAGCATGGGGATCTACATTTCGTATGGCCGGCCATCTGAAGCATACTAAAGTGACTTCGTAAGCATCTTAAAGTGACTTAGTGATAAGGAAGGACAAGGTAATAACAGCGATTAGAACACTCGTACATGAGCTCGTTTTTATGGGACGTTGACCATTCATTGTAGAGCGACCTATAAATGTAAGAAATCCTACTTTACGAACGTGAAAGCCAATAAGTTTTCTGATTCTGACGAACACAGAAACACATGAAAAGATCCTCTGAGTTGCAGGTTAATGGCAAATTGTGGCTTCCGAACTTTATCCTATAAGGTTGGTTTCTCCTTTAAAATAACATTGATTGTTCACTCGGCGGCCGCTTTTGGACGTGATACTTTTCAAAGTTTGAGTGTGTCATTGTTTGAGATCTGGAACCGTTAATTAAACTGCTTTTACACCAGCCGCCCCGTAACCCCAGGTATCGACCACATTCGTACCATAAATCCCCTTTGTAGTTCGCGACTTCTACCTCGTAAGGTTCTGAACTGAGCAGGCGTACTGCTTAAATTGAAAATAGACTACGATCTTAATATGGACTCCTAACCTTCTTAACAAATGCAGGTAATTGAAATATTCAAACCCTCTTTTGGTAACTAATACTTGAACATGTAACTCACTCAGACAAATCGTTAGTTTGTTTCAATTTTTTACAATATTGTTGCCGAGTAAATAACAGCCGGCAATATAATCCCGGAAATTGTTATTTATATTCAGTAGTAAAATGCGCACGTGTTGTACATATGCAGCTGTAATGGCTCTGATAGATGCAGTAAACGAAATAGGTTTCAACCCAAGTCGAGATATTTGGTGATTCTACACCTCCGCATGCAATGACTAATAATTTCATATATTCGTATGTGGGTAATTAGGTAATTAACCTAGAACTGCCGCAAATTGACTTGGATCTCCACCAATCCTGAAGAATACGTGAATTTTATGACTGCGGAGTGGTTGTAATGATTTCAGATACGGGGTTAGGTTTTTTTTTTTCAACTCGGTAATTAACCAGTAAGTGTGGCAATTGACATTGGGTCTTAACCAAACTCAAAAACTCAGTTAATTTTTAGATTCTCAGGGGCTGCAAAAATTTGAAGACTGTACGTTTAGTCGTTTTTTAATCTGGTAATTCACTAATAACTGCCGCGAACGAAATCGAATCTCCGCCAATTCATAAAGTAAGTTCGTTACGAAACCTGCGCAGTGGCTGTGAAAATGTCAGGATATGAGTTTAGTTATTTCTGTTTCCGTGTTAATATTTTTAAAATGTAAATTTATTAAATACGCACGTAAGAACAGCTAGAAATGCGGAAGAAAAAATGCTCATCTGAGTAAATTAACTTTGTAATCTTAATTTTGATTGTAATATTTTTAAAACGTAAATTTAGCCAAAACACAACTGAGTTCATGAATTTACCAGATGATTGCCGCCATCGAATTTGGATCTACACTAAACTTGAGTTGAGTTTTACTATAATATTTAAACCACTTACCTAACCTAACAGCTAACACTATAAAACGACAAAAAATTATGTTCAAATTTCACAGATTATCAGTTCAGCTTTTAATTAAATGGAAAAATATTATTAACTCAATGTATTCAAATTTAAAATTCTCCCAAACCTCGGAATTTATTCATCATAAAACGGAATAAATCATGTTCAAATTTCACTATTGTCAGTTCAGCTGTCACTTAAACCTAAATCTAAACCAAAACCTAAACGTAAATCCAACCAAACCCAACCCAAGGCTTAAAAGAAAATAAATTGTTGCTATGAGTCTTTTCTTTTTTAACAGTCTGCTATTAGAGGGAAATAAATAAGAAAAAATAATAACACACCACGAAGGTTTTTGGGTAATACTTTAGATTAAGTGCATCCTAAAAAAGTTTTTTTTTTAATTATATGTTTTTGGGGTGTAGATTAAGAATCTGGAATCCGTTTTTGCGGTCGGCATCGGGAATTTTTAATGGAACCTGTTCCAAACTGGACCTAACCTGCTAGGTTTTCGTTGATTGGCTAGGTTTTTCCGGCCGCCGGACGGACTCCAAACATGGAAAAAACCTAGCCGATCAACGAAAACCTTGCAGGCTAGGTCCAGTTAGGAACAGGTTCCATTAAAAATTTCCGATGCCAACCGCCAAAACGGATTTCAGATTCTTAATCTACCTACACCCCAAAAAACATATAATTAAAAAAAACACCCTTTTTTGGATGCACTTAATCTAAAGTAATACCGAAAAAGCTCATTTTGCAACTCAGAATATATTTTGCACCTGATCTCTAAGAAATCCAACAAAATTCAATACCTATGCAAGGAAACAAAAGTTCCATAAATGGTTTTGGAAAATTAAAAAATCTTGTGCTAGCCTACTCAATGCAAACAACTTGTAGGTAGGACCTATGTGTATCAACTTACACTTGAAGGTGGAAACTCGGGTCAATCGTTGACGGTTGAATCGAATCAAGTTTTTTCAAAATAATTTTATTGAAAATTGTATGAAGAAATAATGATGGTGAGAATAAAGTTCTACGGCGTAATGTTTCGAAATCACACCGTAATAACTAATATTTCACAATAATTAAAGTTAAATATAAAAACTACTTATACTAGTAAAATAATAGTTTTGGCGTAGGCACTTCAACTTACCGAAAACTGTCATCAATGGAGAACTTTTCAATTCACAATTGAGTCAATGTTTTCGCTAGCCTCACCTCAACAGCATGGGAAGACTGGATGAACTCTCCAAGAATAAATTATCATAAAACTTCGAAGTCGTTTGAGCAGTAATCAAGAGTCATACTGATAAATCAAAGACGAAATTCTTTTTTAATTACGGATGTTTTCGTCTGCGAAGACAACGGATTGCATCGTTTGGTGTAATCTTGACAGCTCTTCAGGATTGCCAACAGTCATCACCTGACGGTGGCAGTCTTAGTAAAGCAAGCTTTTTTGGCAAATTTAATTAAAAAAAGTTACATTTACTTAATAAATGCCTACTATTTACAATTTTTAGAGTCTTGATAATAAAAAGACAGGCACTGTTTGTCAAATTGCCTTTATCTGATGTCAGACCATGTGAAAACATGTACGTAAGCTCCACTTTACCTAGCGATATAAGTATGAACAAACACAATTTTCTTAATTAAGGCTCAGTAACGTAGAATTGTGCGTTAGTAGTTAGCTAAGCGATTATTTAAAATTAAAAAAAAAAAAAATAAGTTGATGTACTAGTAAATCGGTGATCATGTGCATCGGTTGATTCTGTGCCTCATCTATAACGACCCTAACAATTTTGACGATAGCAAAAATTTATGTTATTTTATCAATACGGCACTGCTTTTTCCAATTCATGGCAGTTTGCAATACTTAACTTTTGTCATTTTTGGCAAAAAAATCATATGGTTCAGCAAGGCGATTAATGCATTGCCACAAAACCAAAATAAACTTGAATCAGATTAAAAAGATCTTCAAGAATGTTTTTTAATACGTGGCAATGAAATTTATATGACTATATCTAGCATCTAACCCTAGCTAAGCATGGACCACACCGTTTTTTAATCTATGTAGGTAGTGTGACGACACGTTCCTTTAGAAGCGACATTTTTGACGGGCAAAGGATGAAATGTTTTGAAAATGGCTTTGCTCGTCGATGATAACGTAACCCTTGACGAACATAGCCAAAATATGAAACTTCGTGATCAAGGATTAATACAGAACATAAAAAACAACGCAATCTATATTTTCCCATTGAAGACAATTTTCAAAAGAACAGGAATATGTCTGGAGGTTATGCATCAAAATCTTTTTGTCAAGAGTCGCTAACAACAAAATCACACCTACCCATCTAAACCCAATCGGCGGCTTTGAAGTTTAGTCCATTAGCTTCATTGTTAAGGTTTGCACGGCAAACTAAGCCCTCACGAATAAGCTAACGGTAGCAGCGGTGCGCCCCGTTCGTATCGGGTGTCTTGTCTGCAGCGGCGGCAGACGCGACATAAAGTTGGCGTTCCAGCAAGGTCTGGGACTGCTAGGTGCGAAACACTAAAAAATGATTTATTACATTTATTTTCGTTTGTTAAATGATGCATAAGTAGGATCAGGAACTGCCCTGTAGGATGCTCATACTTTTAGAGATTTGAATTAATTCAGTGAAAATTAATGAAATGAAATGCTTTGAAATGAAAAAAAAAATCGATCAAGTTAATTAAATGGTTCTTAAACAAAGCGGCGAACCTTACCAGTGTTTTCTTGCAGGTCAAGTTTTTTTCTTGCATTGCAGTTTTCTTGCAGGTCAAGAAAAAGAGCACGAGTGCACTTTACAGTAATACGTCCAAAGAAACTCCAACATTTATTAATAGGAAACCATTGTAATATGCCTGTCCGGATTTGTACTTTTTCAAAACTCGAAAATTTCATGAAATCTGCGAGTCAATCGAGTAGAATTTTCCCAAATTTCTCATTAGACCATCAACTTCTCTTAGCTTGCTAATCCTCCACTAGGCTGCCGGGACGGTTGCAAGAGTTTCTTGTTACCGAAGATGTAGCGTTCCGTTGACTCTAGTGTTGATGAGGACGCGCGGCATTCCTCTTACATTGCGCTCCAGGTTGACGCTGTAAAAGATTACCTACTCTGAACATGTAAGAAGCACGGCCAGCAAAGCGAAGAAAAACATCAACATATTAAAAGCCCTATCTGGAGCTGACTGGGGAAAGGACACGGAGACTTTTGTGAAAACCTCCAACTACAAGGCGCTGATACGTCCAGTTCTGGAGTATGGAAGTAGTATATGGGGTCCCATAACATCCATAACGTCGGAGAGTGGCTGGCAGAAAATACAAACTGTTCAGAACTCTGCCCTGAGAATTGCCACAGGACACACCGCGACACCAACGAACAACATCTTCACGACGAAACATCTGTCCTGCCTCTGAAGAACCACGTGCAGATGACGGCCTCGCAACTGAGGGAGAAGAGTACTGGAAGAACACCCACTGAGAAGTCTGATGAAGCAAAAGCCAATCAGACTCATGAAAAAGACCATATACAACAGTGAGTATAGCATAAAAGTGTACGACTGTAACAACAACAACAGTGAAAGCAGCGTGGAGGTGAATAGAAACATGAAGACGTTGCATACCACCGCAGTCAAGAGATATCTAGAGTCGAGAACACCCAACAAGATTCTAAACGCACCAGCACCTAAAGTAAACGAAACAGAGAGGACTTTGGACCGAGGCATGAGGCGTACATTGGCGCAGTTAAGGGCGGGGAAATGCCAGATGCTTAGAGAGTGCCTCAATAAGTTCGATGAGGCTAATTACCCAACACCATCATGCCCTCTGTGTGAAAACCACACCCACAACACACATCTGTTTGGGTGTGCTGAAATTCCATCCAGCCTGCAGCCTGAAGATATATGGAATAAGCCAGTGGAAGTGTCCCAACTGATCAGAGTGTGGCAAGACCGGCTCGGCGCTCCGGAGGGGGTTGGACCTGGGCGGCACTCAGTCGCATGACGTTATGGTGATCATCATCATTACGCGCGGTTTTACGAGATTCTGCCACCCGACCATCGTATAGCCATCAGTATCAGCTTAAGCACTGACAATTTTAATTTTTACAATAGAATGCGTAACTGCTCCGGAGGGGGTTGGGCCTGGGCGGCACTCAGTCGAGTGACGTTTTGGTGATCATCATCATCACGCACGGTCTTACGAGATTCTGCCACCCGAATGATTTAATATCAATAAATAATTTAATAATTGTCTGATTTTTTAAATTGTATTCATTTAACCAAAATCTTCTTCTATAATTTGATGGAGTCAACAATAAGTTACTTGAGACAGTTTCTCAAGTTGGTCAATACTTCTATGTAGATATTCAGGGATTAGGTACCAATTTTTTCCCCAGTGTGGTGAGTGGAAGGTCAATTAGCATGAGGTTGATCATTAATTGCCATTTCCCTTTTTTTTGAAGCAGTAAAACCTCTCAAAAACTTGCATTCTCCCCAGAACATATTCTTAGTAGGCATAGGTAGCATATTCTAAAAAATCCACTATCATCAACAAATGATGAACGTGCCAAAGTAGTCACAAAAAAAATCAGCAATTGTGGAACACAGCCATCAAGGGCAGTAACACGTGGCACACTAACTTAAGAATTTCAGTAGCATATGCACATACAAGTAGAATGCAGTGCTATCAAAACTTCACCCACCACAGTGACAGTCAGGTTTTCTTTAGCTCACCCCTTGTACGTATACACCATTCTGTTGTCAACATGTTAAAGATCCCCTCAACCTCAAGTATTAAAGTAAAGGCACAGCATGGCCAAACAGCTGCTGTTAGTTTCAGGGGGTTAATGGTTTTGGCTAATTAGAAAGGTTTTACATCTCATCTCAATTTTGTATTCATTCCATGAGAGTCTATTAGTTCTAAATGATAAGCATTTAATTCAATTCTTTCTGTTGCAGCTCTAACTATTCATCTTCACTAGCCCATGCTGCTTACTATATAAAAATAATTAATTTATCAATACTATTTATACTCTTTGCATTCACTCAATAGTTGGCTCCACAATACCATTATAAAGTAACACTCATGTTTAACTGAGTCATAATTTCATTCAATAGATATTATTTGACTGCATTCATGCAGCATTTTCATCTCATCTGCAACCTGAGACATTTCTAAATATTCGTGATATTACCTTCTCTTGGAATCCCAAAACTTGTAAACAATTGTGAACTAAAGTAAGATAAAAAAAATACCTGATCAAACCCACACTTCAGCATCCCATTGATTCTTACCTTGAAATTAAATAGCAACTTGAAGTTCTTTATTTTGAATAAAAAGGTATAAATAGCATTCCAATTGTTCTTGCTCTACACATTTTTCTGTGTCATTTGATTCCACCATTTTAGAGACTAAATTTGATTTTAAAGTAAAATCTAAGATATGTTAGGTATCATGGACACACCATAGAACAGCCCTAAAAAATTCCCCTTGCTATATTTCAAACCAGTAAACAATGTTCAAAAATATATATAATAGATATAAAATGGGAATATTGATAGTTTGGAACAACTCACCGGGCTCCCTTGCTTGCAGATGATGACTGGCACAAGTGCAAGCGCAGTTCTTGCACAACAGGACTAAATTTTATTGCCGCATTCCTAGTAGCCATTTTATACTATCACAGAATTTATATAAAATCTAGGATAGAGTACTGAAAACATTATTACAACAGTAATACAAGATATGTGAAATCACGCACAAATTTAACTCTTCAAGCCTTCAAGAAATGCTCTGTATAAATATGCTCGGCTAAACTCAGCCTCAGATCTCCATAGTAGCAGACCATACCATAAACACTGCATGCCAGACCAGTTTTGAGACAGCTTGAAGCAAAATAATATACATTTAAAAATTACTTTTTAATTACAACACTTCTAAAGAATCCAGTGTTTCCAATGTTACAGATGTACAATGAATTTTCGAATATTAAAAGAATTAATTTTTCAATTTATTTTATTATATAATTTTTTTTTCAAAATTATTTATTCTGTCTTTTGATTCATGCATTGCCTCCAACTTCACAGAAGTGTGCAAAATTTCAGGTCAATTAGACAGGTAAAAGTGTGTTAAATATCAGTTAAAAGATTTGTAGCTGACAAAATTATTTGTTCAATTTTTTTAATATTGAAACATTTTTTTAATTTTTAAAATCAATTATTTTGTCATTTGATTCTTGCATTGTCTCCAACTTTACGCAAGTGTGCAAAATTTCAGATAGATAGGATAAGTAGAAGTGTGTTAAACTTTGATTATAAGATTTGTAGCAGACAGACAGACAAACAAGAACTGAAGTTAAAGAGAAGTGTTGTAATAAAATGCCATGTGCCTGCAGCCACTGTTCTAGCCAGGATAATCCTCATAGAGGCTACATGCCAGCATGTGCCTATGCTGTCTTTCACACTTATCCTGCCTCCCCACCTAGCTGCCCAATAACATAAGGGTAGGTCCAGAAAGTTTTGTTCTTGCAGCAAGTTGTGGCTAGTGTGGAGAAAGAACTGCATGATGGGGTGTGGTCTCCATGAAGACTATACTGGCTTGAGCAGTGGCTGCTGGCTCATGGCACTGATGGGACAAAGCAAGCAAGTTCAAAGGCTAATATACTCAGTTGATTTGTAGCAATTGCCCATCCTGGAAGTGGCAAACCAGGGTGCAGAAAGTGGGTGAATGTCAAAATATATTTGGCAACGCATCAGCTGCAAGATTTACGCCTTCTGAAAATCTTGCCGACACATTTGGATTGAAATTATTGCATTCAGAAATTCCTTCGAAATTACTGCTAATCTGAAAGACCTCAAGTGCACACAGCAAGGTTTCCAGTACGCATGGATCAGGATGCAGTGAAGCTTGTCCAGAAATCAGTTTCGAGGCCTGTAAGTGTTGCAGTGCGTGGACTGAAAGGGATATACTATCAAAGTTGCTTGCAGCACTTTCTTATTAAAAATTACCCAGCGACAGATCTTGAAAATGGTTGGTGATGCTTTGGGCTAAAAATCCATATCTTGGCAATGCTACTTGCACCCTCTGCATCCTGGGTGGGGAATAGGGAGGGAGAGTGATATGTCAGTTTTTCCAGGCACTTAATGCTACTGGTAGTTCTAGGACCATCACTGGCTTGCTGATCTGCCAGAACCATTTTATTGCATTACACAACACCCTGGAGTCTGGACAAGCCAGGTTCTCCTTTATCAACCAGAGTTGGATGAATGGCTGAGTTGACACATCAAGAGTTGAGTCTAGAAAAACCTGGGAATTAAACTGAATCCAAGGGCATCCTTCACCACGACTCCAGTGCAGCAAGTGAAATTGGATTGCTTCTTGTGGCGGGCTGTTGACAAGCACTGAGATAACAGTGATTTCTTTGGGTAACCTGCCTCAACCTTAGTAGAGCACACAGAGAATAGACTTGCTGAACTAATTTTCACATTGTCCGGAATTATTGTGCCAGTGCAACTATGTTTTTATTGTGATGTTCTAGTAAAAAAACAATCAATTTTAGATGGTAATTAGGGATTGATTTTATTGCCTGACCATGCGTTTGCCATTTGTATCTTGTGTGATGTCAGCCCGTGTGGGTGGCCTTGGTTAACTAGTTCTTTTGTTTTAGTGATTAGGACTTGTGATTTGCTAGTTGCAACAAGGACTGAGGGCCTGGTGATTTCGCAAGATTTTGGCTGTGTTTTTATAGTGCAAGCTCCAACTGCTAGGGTGCCTTGCTGCTTCCATACCATCATAACACTACCAACCCCATTTCACTCTGCACCAACTGGCGGTGTCTGCACACTTTGTTGGTTGTATGCTGGTTTCAGTGTATCATAATATATTTCTCTAAGCTGTGCCCAAGTGGTTTCAGTAGCCTTACATGCCAGTCTTGTCCACTGCTGTACCATCTACCTCTTTAATATAAACATTAAACTTACGGGGGCCGAACGCCTCCCCTTATAATGTAGTTTGAGTCTTTGAGTTGCTTGGCAGTGACAACTGTATACTGAGTAGGTACTGTGACATCAGCAACTGGCAATAATTGGCTAGGGTAAACGCACCATATTCCAACACTGTGGGTAATTCTGCCACACCTTAACTTTTTCCTTTATATTAAGCTTGGTCTTAGTACCATGCATTCGTAGATGGTTGAAATAGTGACGTCATACAATTGTGCACCAGATTTCCGTAAAACACGAGGTCTAATGGGAAAATGTTAAGAACCGCAGAGCAAAAGTCCAAGTCAACTAGTGAGAACATCAAAACGTATGAAAGTTGATAGTTTACCTTGCTTTACTAAATAGTGACAAACTGTTTGTGTAGAAAGAATATTATGGTTTGGGACTTTTAAATAAGTCTGTGAATATTTTAGGAATCCTTTAAGTATACTTTTATTTGCTGATTTTAAGTGGTAAATAAATGAATAGGTGATTAATTTAAGAGAATGTTTTAAACACATCAAAACTAATTTTGACACAGGGTGTCCTTTACTGTCATTTAGCTCACACAAGGTGTTGTTTAGCTCACACAAGGTGTCTGAATTACAAATTACAATTTTGAAGCGCAGTCGCCTGAGGCTGTTGGAAATAGGAATTAGTCTCACAATATGCTGCATTTAATCACACACAGTATCAGAAATTCAGGATTCAGCAGTTTTGTAGATTTGAATTCTAAAGGCTTTTAAATAAATATGGCAACAGTTAGTGACATTTCATCATTGCTGGCGCATAGTGTGGTGTTTTGAGAGTGACGTAAAGTCATTGAAGAGGGCCGCAGAACATTAGCTATATTATATAGTAGAATCATTCATTCAAAATTGTACCTTAATGTATTTCACGTTTTATTTCATTACCTTTCGAGTGTCATGTGCATGTTATTAATCTTGTATCTTGTTTCCCTTGGTGTAATATTTAAGCAGAGTAAAAGTTAATGAGATGAAATTCTTGCAAGTCCATATGATATGCACTTTTGATTAATCTGCACCCCTGATTGCTGAATTGAAAATTCACTGGTTGCACCTGATTCTTTTCTGACCTTCAAAAAGCCTGTTTAAGCTGCCTTAATGCATGATTGATCTACACCTCTGCTTGGTTAATCCCATCCTGATGCTCCATTTTGGTGAGTACAGTGCATTCCAGCCCATTAAAATGTCACCACGCTTATATTTGTCTTTGCTGAGCTCTTAACAAATGTTTTCCAGTTATTCATGCCTGTTTTATTAAATGATGGATGGTTTTCACTGGTTCTCATGTCAATTTTGTCCCTTTTATTGCACAATTTTCATTTTTTGCTTACTTGAACCATGTTGTGCCCACCCTTGAATAACTTACNATTTAGTCCCTGTGGCTTTCAGCAAGTAATCATGTTGGCTAATTTGCTCTGCAGCATGCTTGCGCATGGGGTGAAGTATGAAAATTATGCTGGTATTGGGCAATGCTGGGTTACATCAGTCGTCCCAGAATATGGTGTGTTTATAGGTATAGGTCATAAGGTAAGGTCATAAGGTTATACTTTACTGGACAATTCATAGTGGCAAAGCACAAAGCAGAGAGTTTTTTAGACTCTTCCTCAAGTTCATTTTTGAGTCCTATAAGTAGACTGTAGACCAGTTAAGTATCTTGGATACCAGAATTATCATACACTAGAAATCTGTTAAAACCTTGAGTAAATGAGGAAATTTAAAATGAACTGATTCTAAAAAATCACTGGTTTGCCACTATGGACTTTACCCTATATCAACAATTATGAACAATATCATATAGGTATGATATTTGTATCAGCCTGTAAATGCCATGGTTTATTACAAGATATCTCTGCATCTGCAACACAGCAACATTGATGTGGACGTGGGTCATGCCGTCATGGCATCATGCCATCATCACTCATCACATCAGGCATGGAAGCATGCAAAGCAGAATAGCAGGCATCCCAGTCTGAATCACTCACTCAATTGGAGTATTGGATTTGGACATGTGACACACTGGCCACTGCCTCCTTAGTCCTTCCTTTACGCCGCTTCTGGAGTTCTGGTTCTGGAGAGTGGAGACAAATTGCTGCAACAGCATCCTCGAGTCTTGAGTTGAGACATGAACATCTGTTCCTCTGCCTCCTCACACATTAGGTACACCCATCTTATTATAATATATCTATAGGACTACAGTAAATAAGTTGCATAGCTAGGCTACATAATAAATATACAATGAATATACCCAATAGGCAATAAAGGCTAATATATATTAGTAAAATGCAGTCAGCGCATGGCACTGGCTGCCTGGCAAAGAAAAATGTCATTTGGTGCCCTTCCTCAAGTTTATTTTTGAGTCAGATATAAGTACAGTACCGAAAGGTAGGCTAGTACTTAGTAGACTAGGCTAGTACAGTAGTACGGTAGTCGGGTATTAGTACCCAATTCCCAATACCTATCTTTGATAGGATACCTCATACCAGGCAGTAGGCACCAGCAGCCGGCCTGCCAGCATTAATATTAGGCTACAAAGAAATTGATTAAAACATCGAGAAGGGGAGGAAATTAAAAGTGAACTAATTCTAAAACTCTTTTTTTGTCATTATGCATCGAGTCAGTCAGGCACAACCGCACCGGCCACCGGCACCGAGCAAAGTAAAATGTAAATTATGCTCTACGACTACGCCGTCGTCACTCGTCAGCCATAGTTGAACTACCGTAGTTCAACCATGGTCGTCTCACGTCTGCCGTAGCTCCTACCGCGAATCCTATCACACTACCTATCATCACAGATCACTACACTCTAAAGACGGTGAAGCGATCCATCAAGTGCCGCGGAGAATAAAACGATTTGAAATTTATTCTAACCTATGCTTATCCTAATAGCCAAACGCGATGGTGACATTCCGTCACATTCGTAAAGTTTGCGGCATTCGCTCCGCCGCAACATATCATGGATCAGTCGATGGCCACTCCATCATTTGTAACATGGTTGAACTAGACAAGGTTGACCCACTAGGAGTTCCGTCTTTCAGTTTAGCTTACTTGTTACTTCACGTAGATCGAGAAACGTAAACAAACCCGTCATTCCCACGACGGATTGGTCGACTAGTCTAAGAGTTAACCCTCTACCGCCCCGTGTCACTGTCCGGGAACATAACTTTTACATTGAAGTTATGCGCCAGTTATTGACTGTAGCGACCTGACGACGGTTGTTCCCTGTAGAGGACATGTTAAAGTTGTCGTACACTGCAGCAACCGTCAATGGAAGTGATTTCGCGCTCAGTGGATGGTTATACGTTGCAAGGGTCGGAGGTGTGACAGTTATGCTCCGGTTTGCCATCTTTACCTAATCATGGACGAAAACAATGGTGAGTTATGATGCTGCGAATTTTTATAAGCTGTTCTCATGAATCTAGGTCATGTCTGATGTATTCGGTTTCTCTTTTAACTTTACAATAAACTTTTTTTGTGTAATTCATGGTTTGTCACTGAGAGGGAACATCAGGCTCTCCACTGCATTTATTGTCTGTCACTGAGGAGGAACATCCGTCAGGTGATTGTATCATGTACATTTATGGAAAAACTGCATGGTACAATATTGTATATGCATGAATGCGATGCCACAAGCTTGCACCAGCATCGCCATGCGATGCCACAAGCTTGCACCAGCATCGCCATGAGATGCCACAAGCTTGCACCAGCATCGCTATGCGATGCCGCAAGGTTTAATCAACAATGACAGAGTCTAGCTGATGGAGCATGAGCTGTAATCATCAATGATAAGATTTCACCAGAACCGTCAAACAAGAGGGATTGGATTTTTCAGAAACTGAATTTCATTTACAGGTTCGATTTTAAGCAACAATTTCCGACTCGTATCTAAAATACATTAGGTTTATGCAAGTAATTCAAATACCTCAACTTTATGAATTACATACACTTTATTTAACTTGACAATTAAGTTTATTCTAAACTTATAACGAGATGGGGCAATTCAACATCAGAAGTTGTCATATTTCTCCTCTGATATTCAATGCAGCAGTTTTATGCCGTTAAAAGACGCACGAAATTTGTAGAGGTATTACTCACAATGCAAAAAAAATAAAATGCATAAAAAATAGCTAAATAAATTACGGAGGCTCAGCAAGTATTCAAAGCTGAATAGCATCCGAAATTCTGTCAATTTCAAATAAAATTGATAAGTATTAATTACTTTACAGCGAAGATATCATATTAAAATTTAAACTTCAAGTACAGCGTTTATAATACACTTCAGTCAGAAGCATAATTATCGCAATTTTTCATGATGAGATTACTGTTCATTGTCCACTGAAGTAGCATCAAACTTCGCAACCAAGCCTCGCGGCGACGCTCTCTGGCGGGAAGGAACCTCACCACGGCTGAACCCTACAGGCTCGGTCGTGGTATCGCAGCGCCACCCCTGAACCCGTAGACACGTATCGGGCCATCTGATCTGAATTGATGAACTCACGATCAACAACAGCCATCCCGGCAAGATCAGGAGGCAGTCGTGCAACGTTGGTGAGACGCTTGAATGAAAGCTCTTCTATTGACGAATCAATGATGAATTGCGTGAGAACCACGACGAAGTTCATGTCTACAAGGTTGCAACAGACGTGACAGTTTAGAGTGCGCAAGTTGAAACTAGACTGTATACTCTTAAGGAGGTTCAAAACAATGTGCTCCATCGGAAGAGTCAAGTCTTGTAGGTTTGGACACAGCTCGAGTATTTTAATGATAAATAGAAAAAAGCGAAACATGTAGTCCGGAGTTATGGGAGGATCAGCAATGACTAGTTTAAACTTGACCAGCTTAGAGAAACCCTTCAATTTCAAGGTTGACTTGTATGAGGGCCGATGACAGAGATGAAGAGTGAGATTAGTGATGTTCGGAAAGCAATTGAGGAACATTATTGCTCGCTCGTGCGATACACCAGATCCAGAATCAATTAGGCATAATTCTTTGATCTTCACGCCACCTTGCCTGAAGACAGATACAACATTTTCAAAGCACTTATCAACATTGCTGCTCAAAACACAGACCTGCAAGAGCTTCAATTTACTGCAATTTTTCAGGATCGATGTTAACTTGGACCTGGCATGTTCGTGATCGATTGTGGCGCTTGAGCCACTTATCACCAGCAGGAGACTTTGTAGATTTGTCCACTTCGTAAGGACGTCATCAATGTACGGGAATCTGAGGTCTTCGTATCGTAACTCGCAATGCTTCAAACCGTGGCCATGGTTAAGCTCAATCGTTGGGCAGAGTGCTGAGTCAAAGAGACTCACTGACACGTCACTATTTTGCATATAATGCCACTCAAAATTACAGTCCTTATAATAATGAAGCAACATTTTAAAAAGCGGTAGGCTTTCGGGGAACTTGAAAGGTAGTGCCAGGTGCTTGAGCTTCGGGAAGGAAAGAGGTAAGTTTTCACCCAGAGAGAAGCGTTCAGTTACCAATTTCAGAGCTGTGCCTTTGAAAAATAGGCGACTCATGTCATCATTCTTCATAGTACAGATGCACAGCGCAGGCAGGAAAAGTCTTTCTAGATTCTTAGCTTGATCACGTATGACTCGGAGAGAGGAGAGTTTATCATCAACCAACGCCCTTATTTCGGTCAAATTAGGCATCATTGGCAGACACACATCAAGAACCTCATAACACAGCGAGTATTGGTAAGATAATAGAGTCGTTACACGCGGGAATTTAATCTTCAGAGCGCTAAGAAGCATGATTAGTTCTATGTGGTGTTCTTGAAAAACGAAGGTGTTGCTAAATATAAGTTGTAGAATGACATCTGCTTCTCTTGATTCTATCATCTCAGCTCGCCCCGATACATGGCGACGGAGTAAAATCGCTACAGATTTTGGGGCGGTGTTCATCACCTCGTTCACTACTGCCACCAGACGCGCCTGAGGAACAAAATTTGAAGTTCAGTTAGGGTGGAAAATAATCAAAATTGCTTATGGGTACGTAGTGGTAAGAAAGTTTTTTAAAAATTTTATTTTCATGATTTGTTTTGATTTCATGTATTTGTTGATTAAAGTGGATACCATGGCATATTATAGGTAATATAATTTGGACAATTAAATCGGAACAGAGATAATAGGAATACAAAATTCTATTCATTCGCCATGTAAATGTAGTTCCTATGTATATATGAAAACAATTCCTGTAATAATATCGTGCCGCATTAAGGCTGCAATATTGTTATTAAACCGGCTTATATGTCTACCATTAATGATGAGTAGGTATTACTGTCAGTGCTATATACCATTGCTGGGCCAATGCTGGCAAAAGCAAAGCCAAAATAAAAAAGTATGCATGACTGTAGCCGAGGTGGAAACTGGGAGAATGTCAGGAGAGAGAATGAGTATGGAACACCAGATGGTGGAATATGAGGCATGAAAATATACGTTTAAAAATTACTTTTTAAAGACAACACTTCCAAAGAATTCAGTGTCTCCAATCTTGCAGATGTACAATGAATTTTATTTCTCATTTAATTTTCGAATATTAAAAAAAATGAATTTTTCAATTATTTTAATATACAGGTAATTTTTTTTAATATATACATTTTTTTCCAAAATTATTTATTCTGTTAATTGATTCATGCATTGCCTCTGACTTTACACAAGTGTGCAAAATTTCAGATTGACAGGATAAGTAGAAGTGTATTAAAATTCGATTACAAGATTTGTAGCAGACAGACAAAGAAACAAACAGACAAGAAGTGAAGTTAAAGAGAAGTGTTGTAAAAAGAATGGCGAGATATGAGGAAGATGATTCTAAATGATGGTAGGGGGTTTGAGTGAATAAGTGAGGAGTCAAAGGCAGCAACAGTGGCAGGGACTGGCGGTGAAAAAAAATAATTGGAGAGAATTCAAAGGCTTAGCAAGAGAAGGAGGATGCCAAAAATTGTCTGGACCAGGAGTGAAAAAAAAAATAAAAATAATTCAATCAACATTTAGGAGAATGTGACATGGCATGTTGAGGGTTGTGCTGACAGCACTTTTTAATATTTATGTACATAAACATGACCTCTGGCCTGAGGTCACCACGCCTTTAATTTCAGCCACATGATTAAACGTGTGGGAATCCCAACTATATCGGTAATATCAAATGTTTTCTTACTGTGGATGTCATTATTGGTACCAATTGCAAGCAATGTGATTATTTCAAATTTTACAATTTGTTTTATGTGCCTGCAACAACTCCGCCAAAATGTTGGTGTTGTCACAGGAATTACAAATTACATCATCTCTCCAGTTAAAATATTGCTTCATCTGTCACATACATCTATTACATCTTTATTATGTTAGCAAATTAGAACCTTATAATGCATACATGTATTATACACTAATATATAGGTACATTTGAAATGAATAAATTCATTTTCTTTTGTTTTTGAATTGGTAAATTGTGTTTATGAATATTCTAAAGCTAAGAATAATGCTATTGTAATAAAGAAAGATTAATTACACTCAAAATTTCCTTTATCAAGTGATGACAAAATGAACAAAATTTACTTAAGAAGGGTTGTCTACTTAAGCTAGACACATATTTTTCATCTGCAACAATAATACTGTGTAAATATTCCTTTCAAAAAGTGAGAAGAGAACCTTTATGTTGTCAGAAAACAAAGAGAAAGTTGTCTAAACTGTAAAAACTGTTTTATAAGAAGCAGGAGATCCAAATGGGTTCCAGGAGATATTTCTTCATTTAAGCATTCAAAAAGAGTCAGAAATAATGCGTATATATATGTATTTAAAAAAAACGAAAATTTGCATAGGTACCTACATCAAATGGGAGAAACTATGATTAGGGGCAGCATTTACCAAAGGTTTTGTTATACTCCGTTCAAGTCTTCCATTCGTGCTTGAGACCATTTGATGGAAAATTCTTCTCAGTTCCCCTTTTGGAGTGTCATATCTGCAGAAAAAAAATGCTAATAATTTTCAATGAAACAGAAACATTATTAATAAGCTATGGTGGCTTTAATGCAAAAGTAACTTTATGGCCAGTTAACAGCAACTGATTTACATATCTCAAAAAATTGGCCATTTATCAACTTTCATAGAATTTTTGAATGCATTATGCAGCTTTAAAATAGATAACTTTAGAAATCACCTGTAATAAGCATGCGTATATAGAAGTTGCTAAAGAGCAGTAGAAAAAAAGAGGTTTATATACTTGGGCATACAAGCATGTTCAATCAAAACCACCCCCTAGCAAGGAATCACTATTGTATTTTTTATTGTAGTGTGATTAAACTTAGTATAAAAGTATAAAGTCTATCCCAAGCCATACAAAGACTTTACTTACACCGATAAATCTCAATAAAAACCATTGTCACAACAGCATCATTATTCAATTCCCTGCACTCAAATGATTTCAAAAAGACTGACACTGGCTCTGTTAACTCACCTGACCATCCTCAGTAGACTAAAGAGGCAGTGAATGGCCCCATGGTCAGCAACACTAAAAATGTATGCCTCCGCAGCCAATATCTGCAAGCTGACTTTCTTAACATTATTTAAAACTACTATGCTGGCCATAGCAAATTGATAGTCAGGGCTTTGCCAATATAAATAACATTGACTCTGTGATCTTAACTACTGGTAGGTAATCCTGAAACACAAAAGTAATTTAGGTGGACCAGGTTATTTAACTTATTTTATTTGCATTAAATTATGAAGGGAAATACAAATACATTGGTAAGCTGAAGTGGTGGACATTCACCCATGCTGTTTCAAGATTTACCTGAATTAAAAGAGATTGATTGGTTTCCGAACTGGGGCTGAATCAGCCACAAAGATCAAAGGAGAATGTGTAATTAGGGAATGACAGGAAAATATGGATTTTTATGAAAAGAATGCAAGAGCTAAATAAGGATAACATGCTTATTGATTGTATCATTTAAAAGTGTGCCACAAGTTCAAAAATATCAAGAACCACAGCCTTAACAAATTTCAAAAGACCCACTTAGCAATTTCAATTTGAGTAATTTTAAATGCCATGGACGAGCTGAGATTATTTCTTTCGTGAAAATTGCTTAACATGAATATATCAGCCTACCATAGAATTAAAAATTTCCCAAGTTATTCTTCTCTTCTGAGCTTGATTCTTACTATAGCTCAAAACTAGGGCATTAGCCAACTGCAAAGGAGCCTACATTGCCTTCATCATGGACAACTTAACATTTTCCCATTGCAAAAGCCCTGGCCCAATAAGTTGGAGCTAGTGATGAGGCTCAAGACCCATGCTGTATGGTTGAGAAATAGGTAGGCTTTTGGAAAATATTGAATTTGAATGATAAGGAAGTTTACAGATGTGACAATACCAAACTAATTTTTGGTACTTCCCAGATTGTTTACAATGGTAATTTAAAACAAAATAAAAATTCCATCTGGATGAAATGATTAAGCTTATGCTTCACAAAGACATAAATGCAAATGGTAGAATAGGTATATATACATACATATATGATCAAGTTTTCTCTTTTCTTTGGTTATTAAAATTTCTATCATTGATTGCTCCTCATAATTGGTATTGTCAGTATCAGTATATATAGCAGCAGCCCATTACCACAACTCTATATGGCAATCTTTTCATTAGTTATTTAGGATACTTTTAGATTTAATGAGCTGGCAACTTGAGAGAGCTGCTAAAGGACATGATATATATAAGGCAACAGCTAAGTAATGCAGGAAGCAGCTCTTGGCTCTAAGATAGAATTGGCATAAAATATATCTACCTTTTAAGCTTCAACTAGAGCTTTCCTTCCATATTAGGAGCCACAAGTTTCATGTGTCAGACAATTTTATGGCCGGACTCCATATTTAATGACCAAGGATCTCCCAAAATAAGTACCTAACACAGCTCAATGAAACTTTGTACACATATTCATTAGAACTTAACAGCAATGTTTAGCTTGTGAAAATTTCTTCCATTTGATCTTCATTCATGAGTTATGCAGCAAAACAGGAGGCAATATGGCCAAAATTTGCAGTGACCAAGAAATTTCTTCTAAACTACAAACAGATGTAAACAAAACTTTGAATATACATTCCTAACCACCCAATAGTGATGTTCAGCTAATGGCAATTTTTTCAAATTTTGCCATCATTTCAAGATATACCACTAAGCAGAGAACACAAAGAACATACACAGAACAGACTGGAATTTCTGAGGCTGATTTTGAGGCCGCTTTCAAATTTGCAGAGATCAAGAAATATCTCTCAAAGTATAAACAGAGGCTACAGAGCTCATTGTAACTCTGTAAACATATTTATCAGGACCTAATGGTGATGTATTGCTCAGTAAAATTTTTTTTATACCTCCATTTTTGAGTTATCTGGCAATATGTTCAATACCTACTCTGTTGAACATATGAATAAACATTGTTATGACTAATTTGAACTTTATTGCAGATAATTCAGGTGCAAATTGGTACATTTCACTTTGGCTCCACCAGGTAAACATCACCATAGGGTGATATGTAGTAAGGAATTCAAATTTTTGTTCAAATCAGTTCCACAGTGCAATTCTAGGATTGGCAGTACTTTTTGGTCTTGACAAACAAGCAAAAGGTGCCCCGTTTCATTTCCCCACCATTTGGGTGAGGAGGTAGTGACAGGCAACAGGACTTTCAACCAACCAAAGCTAGGAATTTAAATAATTTAATTTTTGATCAAAAAAATTAGTCACCTAATATATGAGATGTAAAGGTAACTTGAAATAAACAATTTAAAATTAAATATTTTTTGAGCTTTCATATCAAAAAGGGAGCATAACTTTACAAGTGTCAATTGTTAAAGTAGCGAGTCACCATTTTCTTGGAGGCAGCAAAGCAATACAGTATAATGTACCCACGTACAAGTAAAATAAAACGTCCCAAAATTGCGATCTATGAAATAATTTGAAAATAAAGGATTCAATTGTAAAATAGATTACTTCTGTCAAACAGGATACAAAAAATAATAAAGGACAGTTTTGAGCATTTTTTGCTTATACAGCAATCCCTTGATTAACGCGGTTAATAAATCCCCAAGTTTTACCGTGTTAAGCAAAACCACGCTAATCAAACTTAAGAATATATGGGAATAATTATAATGAATCCTCAAAAATAGCAAAGTTACATAATAATTTTTTTTCCACTAAAATTCATCATACATATTTTTTTCTAAATAATAGGGGAAATAAATAAAAGAAATGCGAATGAATTAACATTTATTTTTTACTGAAAAACGAATCCAATTTCAATTGCACAGTAGATTTCTTCGTTCCCTTTTTGTCGATAATTATGACGGTAATTTATCAAGGAAAATTATGTAGTTTGATAAAAGTGAGCAGTAGATATGACAGCGATCGTGACCAGTTGAAGGCTAACGAGTAACTAGAGCACCGGCATGACGCACTTACCGGCGAACGTTGCCGAACTCGACCATTCGAGTTATGAACGAGACTAGGCGCAGTTAAACCGACTCTGTAGTCAGCACGAGTGTCTACGGAACGGGACCTTATTTAAAGAATTATTGGCTGAAATTCAGAAAGTAACAACATTTGGCAAATTTTTCCAAAAGTCGTAACAAACGTAACAACATAAGATCTAATAAGCAAAAAGCACCTAACACTTTTGTTACAAACGTAACACCTCTTGCTAGAGGCGGGAAAATGATGCGTTGTGAAAAAAAGTCGCGCTAATCAAAACTGGCACCGCGTAGATTAAGGGTAGGTCGCAAATTTTTTTTCCGTGTTAATCAAAACCGCGGTATTCAAAACCGCGGTATTCAAAACCGTGCTAATCAAGGGATTGCTGTAATTTCTTACAATGAAACATTTTACTAATGAGTTTAGGCTCATTTTAAAGGTCTTTGCAAGGGCCATCACATGGCATCTCTGAAAATAATTCTTTATGCTATTTGTAAGGTGCCAGATATAAAATAAAAGCATCCCGAATTACCCCTGGAACCAGGGTAATCCAGGACACTTGAAATAAAACACAATTTTAAACGTTTGAAACATACAAAGCATACTCATCCATAACTAACAGTACTCAGAAGTCATCCTCTTCCTTTGTAGATGATGAAGATGTACAATAAATGACATTTTCTGTGGTTTTTTACTTTTTTCCATTATTGATATGATATCAAAGTCCATACATTATCATATTATTGATGTTATATTACTGTATCCATGGACATGCCATTGTGCATTTACAATGACCTAGTCCACTGCAAGCTTCATATCAACAGCCATAAAGCATTTCTTCTGTATCTAAAAGCTTACAGGATGGCTCATAATTTTACACCATTTTAATTGGGTCAAGCGAATTCACTATAACATAGATTTAATGTGGAAAAAGATCCTGTTTGGGCATTAAAATAGGTGGGGGGAGACACTGGTGTTAGGAGACTCAAGTCAAGGAAATCTTCCAGGCTTTCTACTAAATTGAGGCCAGCAATATTGCAGTTACCTTGACCTTCCCACATTGTATGGTGTGCATTAAAGTTGCCCACAATCACTTGTGGGCTGGATAGCTGGTTAAAATAATGTGAGTACTACTCAGCCACTTGAATAGGGGAGTTTGGATTGTATACATTTGTTATACTTATTGTCTTGCAGTTACAGAAAACTTTCATGGATTGAATTTCTGGTGATCCAGCTGGAAAGCTATTAAGAGGGTTAGGAGCACAGTTCACATCATTTCGTACCAGAATAGGAGGCCCTCCACCAGGTAAATTTTGTCGGTGTTGAAAATATGCAGAGTACGTAGTTTATGAAGGTAGGTTATCGATTCTGTTTTAACAAAGTTTCTGTAAGGCATACCACATGGGGCTTGGCTGCATAATCTAACTTTGAAGTGGGATAATTTTGTGTACAGGCTGCAACAGTTGCAAAAAAGAATACAAAGTTGTTCCATTTTCAAGAGTGCTGTACCAAAGAGTCCTGACCTTTTAGTTTTTTCATCTTAGGATTTGAGGAGAGCACAGCTGGCTTTGTTAATGGAGTCCCTCTTGGCTGGCCAATTCTTCCACTTAAATTGGGTTCGGATTGGCCCTTCTTGGGAATGGTAGGCATAGGCTCCTTTAGAGCTCTCCCAGATATGCCAGCTTGTTCCACGGGTTCATTAGTGTTTTGTGCTTGTAAAGATTTGGTGTGATTGGTTCTGCCCAAAATGGGAGAGGGAACAATTGCTGAGTTACCATCACTGTAGTCATAAATTGTCTTTCTGCTCATTAACATTTCTTCATTTGTCTGAACAGGGATGACTGTTGAGCTCATTAGTTTCTTAGATATTGAAGAGACCAATGTCTGATTCACATTGATGGGTTTATTTGTTACTTGTGCTGACTGCATCACCTCCATTACAACCGTTGCGATAAGGGTAATGTCTGCTGTGCTGAGTTGAGGAGACTGGGTTGGTTGAGCCACCGTCTGACATGTTGCCACGATAACGTCAGTCTAAGTTCCCACACTTGCTCTTTAGTGGTTGTGATAATTGAGCATCTGCTCCATTCCTTGGGGAAAGGTTCAATGCTATTGAGTCATTCATTGGATAGGGGGCCCTGGGCATTGTCTCCGGAACAGGCAGTGGTTTATGTAGTTCCCTTTGAGAGCCCCTGACTACC